TATAAATTCCACATCTTACCTCTTGCAGGCCGGTATTGCACAATGTAGGTGTCAACTGGCGTGTGGGTGGTGGTGGGAGGCAGCCAGGACACGACCAGGTATCGGGATCCTCTCTGAGACACCCGCAGTCCGTGGGGCGACCCCGGCACGTCTGGGGGGGACGCAGGGAGATCTTAGGCCCTTTGCTCACGCGGCTCTCTCAGGGATTTAGTTCAGGTGTAATGCGATTATCACCAAGATAACAGACGATTTAAAGATTATATCTGACTGTCCCTCCTCCCTCGCTCCCTGTCTTGTTTCTCCTCCCTCCTTCTATCTCATTGCACACACACACACACGCATATATATATATATATACATACATACATACATATATACATATATATATATATATATATATATATATATATATATATATATATATATATATATATATATATGTATATGTATATGTATATGTGTGTGTGTGCGCGTGCGTATGTGCATGAGAGCGTACGAGCGCGCGCGTGCGTGCGTGTGTGTGTGTGTGTGTGTGTGTATGTGTGTGTGTGTGTGTGTGTGTGTGTGTGTGTGTGTGTGTGTGTGTGTGTGTGTGTGTGTGTGTGTGTGTGTGTGTGTAGTGTGTGTGTGTGTGTTAATGTGTGTAATATATATATATATATATATATATATATATATATATATATATATATATATATATATATATACATATATATATATATATATATATATATATATATATATATATATATATATATATATATATATACATATATATATATATATATATATATATATATATATATATATATATATATATATATATATATATATATATATATACACACACACACACACACTGTCAATACATATATGAATACAGGCTGCCAGTAATTCAGTTAGGAATAATTAGAAATAAGTGTAGGGTTCCGTCGCTCCGCGGAAACAAGTCCCCCCGCCGCTCCGTCCGTCCGCAAGACTGAGAACAAGCATTTAATTACTCTAAGTGTTTTTTCTTCTGGTCCTAGGCTTTCAAGGGCCTATTGTTTTCACCGTAGAGGGATACCCCGCGGGGGATATTTGAGCACAATATATCTCTTTCTGTAGGAAATAATGAAACGAGGATTGAATTCTTGCGTCTCTCGGTGGGAGTCAACATAATGCAATACCTCTGCATTCGAACGTGCAGGCGACGGGGGCTGAATAGGGGAGCTTGCTCGGTGGCTGCGCGACCTAATCTTTAGCAATTTGCACCAGGGCGACGCGTATCATTGTGAGGGATGCTGCATGTGTCGTTCAAAGGGAAATATTTCTCTCTGCATCACCGACTCTGAATGCATCATGTCGAGGGAGGAAAAAAATTGTCACTAATTCATTTAGGTTTACTCAATACACTACGGGTATTGTACAAACGTGCGTATGTTTATATATATATATATATATATATATATATATATATATATATATATATATATATATATATATATACATATATATATAAATATATATAATTTGTTGTTTCACATACATATACATATATACAAATAAAAACAAACACACACACAAATATGTATATCATTTTTGCTATATAGAACTTTGCAGACATACCTATTATAAGTATATAAGCTGAGACAATTAATGACTAATATATAACATATATGATATTTCTAATATTCTTTACAGTTGGCCTAATCTAAATAAATGTGCATATGTACAGCTGTGTTAGTGAAGTTCTTAGCCTAAGCGTGTAAATTAAATTAACCATTATTCTTGGCACTCGGAAATTCCTTCGTTAACTATTGTGTTCATAATGCGGATCATAATACTGTCGGTAATAATATGCCTTTGTTTCCCACACATGAATCCATCTCCTCTTTTGTTTATTTTTAGGGAACTTATGAAGTGTAACGCTGTGTCCTTTTTTCTGATTTAGTAAGGATGCATATACAGATGCTCTTTTGACAATATCTTTCCTGAGTGGAAAAAAATATATATTAAGTAGCTGAATGCGGGCAACGAATCAACTTCGCACCCGTCTTCTTTGGCTCCATTTGCCGCTGGTCAGACCTTGTATATTGTGGATCTTGACTACAGCGAGGGAACAGCACATTGTTTTTATACTTTTATTACAAATATAACGGTAGCTCCATCAGTGTGATTTTCCTCTAGATTATTTCTATTGTGATACAGTAAATTTCGTCATATAAAAGTGATTAAGAACTAATTGTAACAAAACCGATAAATAATAATGACTAAAACTCTTCGGGTGGAATGTAATATAAATTGCCATATGCGTTGCGTGGTAAACTACTGGCCATTTCTTTTCTCCTGGATAATCAGACTTATCCCCTTTTCTCTTTCTCTCTCTCCCTTCCCCTCTTCCCTCCCTCCCTCTAACCTCCATTCCTCTCACCCTCTCCCCCTTCCTGTCTCCCTCTCTCCCCCTCCTTTCCCCTCCCCTTTCCTCTCCCCCTCCCCCTCCCCATCCACCTTTACCTCC